TACAATTTAATATTCAAATCACATTATTACTAATTTTATGAATTTAATTTAATATATATTTATATTATTATTTTTTTATGCATCAAAATCCAAAATTCAAACCAAATTTATAAATATAAAAAAAAAATTCAAACTCATTTTATAATTTAAATTCAATTTAAATGGAAACTCAAATCTTCCAAAACTCTTGAAAAGAAGCACAACTTTTATAGTTAAGCCTCTGTACATCAGTGAAACATCAAATCATCCTTATTGAATCCGCTAGCTTTAGAGCATAAGCAATGCCTTTGATTTAGAAGCCCTTCAAGGGCCTTTCGATGTCATTATGTCAAATTGTCGAAATTAGATGTAAGCAACGGCCGTCGCTTCCACACTCCAATCTCGATCTGAAATAGACGCCGCTCGGTGAAGACGAACTCACATCGAGAAGGTCTGTCACTTCTCTCTCTTCCTGTTTCCCTATTCATCTTCTCTTTTCCTCTTCTCCAAACTCATTTTTTTCCCCTCATTCCTGTTCGTACTCCTTTATCACTCTTCTCCCAATTCATTTTCTTCTTCGTCTCTTCTCCGTTTGTCATCTCCCTAATTTCTTCTCCTTTCGTCATTTCCCATGAAGAAGACCACCTTGTCGAGGAGTGTAATGTCTGATAGGAAATTGTCCGCGGGTAGTACATCCCCAACCAAGGCACATATTTCGTTGAAGGAGCTGATCACGGGTACGCATCTAGGAATAAATTGCAATTATGAAGTGTGTGAAGTTTAATTTTGTATTATATGAAATAATTTATATATGCGATTTCTTGCTAGGGTTCTTCAAATGGAATGTGTGTTTTTTTATTGATCTGTTTTAGGTGTCAAGCTAAAATTACTAGCCAGTCATAGTTTTTGTGCTTCTTTGGGTAAATTAACGTTGTTGATAAGAACTAAAAACTTGATAAAATTGTGGGTAGCTCTTTCGGCAGGGGTACCAGGTGTAGAGGGAGATTCGTTGTGGATTTGATTGTTTTAATCTATGTGAGCGTGCAGGGAAGTGCTCCGATGTGTTGATTTTTCATGTGTTGTCTATGTGATAAATTGAATTTTCACAAATAGACTTTAATTATCCATTATTGTGGTAAGGCACTTCGAATAAACCGGTATTGATGAAGATAGGGCACATTGATGTGTTTATGCAACAATTTCTTGATTGTTTGGGCGTAGCCGTGTAAACTTAATTCCGTAATATTTGATTTTTGAAGCGAACAGGTAAGGGAATTGTCTTCTACAAGACTTCTCCTTTTCACAGTGTGAAAATCACTTTTGAATTCCATAAACAGCATTCAACATGTTTTAGATGCAACACTCTTACCTGCACATGATGAATGAGCAAATAATTTCGACCTTGTAGTATTGTCGGGAGATGTTCACAATTGTATTAGTTTACTTCATATCATGGTACCATTCACAAAGTTTTTGAAAACATTCTCAATTCTTGGGGGGCAACACTCTTACCTGCAACAATACTTTATTACTACAACATTACAATTAGTGTTGTCATTAATCATTCGTCTAGAAACCTATTACTACTGTGCTTGAAATGCGGTGACAATGTTTCCAAAAAATAAATAATGGCTTGAGTGATCTCACAAATGCCAAGTCCACGTTCTCTTGCGGTGTTATAGTAATCATGTATATATATATATATATATGATTTAGTCTCGAGACACAGAAGGAGAGTGACAGAGAAATGTGACCTTAAAACAATTAACCCTTTCGTCATAAATTAGTTTACAATAGAAGGTTAATGAAATAGAAATCTAAGGACGACTATTTTATAATATCAGATGTGTTTTATTAGTCAGTTAATTATATGACTATATCTTTACAACCAGTCTTTCTATTTTGTCGTTGGTATTTTGGTTCAAGCGATTCGATGCACAAACATCCACAACTATGTATAATTTATATATATATATATATCTGTTGCCCCTTTGGGCGCTAGTTTTGTCCAGCGAATTGGTGTCTAGTAAGTTCCTTTGGTTTTTACTAACGTGTTTTTTTTTTTTAAAAAAAAAGTATCTACAATATGCTATTTATAACATAATTATTGTATTTTAATGTAGCGTGTGAGCAAAATGGCAGACCAGGGAGACGAATATAGGGTTGATGATGATGAATTTCAATGCTTCGTAGAGTGCCTGAGCGCAGAAGCAGAGTTCAGTCTGAACCCCAAGATCCTTCACATCGCACCCAAACTATCCCAAATATGGCCGCACAACAGCATCCTTACCGAGCCAATTTAATATGAGCTTCAGCTAGCCTCATCATCCGATGCAGTACTTTATGCAACACAATGACCCACGATTCTACCAAATCATGTGGACTTTTGGGCCTCTAGGTAGCTCGTTGCAGCATGCTCAACATGATACCAAATCATCGCATGCCCACACCACTCAATTGACTACAAACCGTCGGCTTTCCTCAACTGTAACTCTTGGAAATAGCATTCCCGCAAGCAGGGGAAAGAGAAATAATTAGTGTTCAAGTAAGAACCGGAATGGTGATGAGGATGTACAACTGGCTAAGGCGTGGTGCAACGTATCAACCGATGCCCGAGTAGGTGTAGGCCAAAAGAGACAAAAACTTTGGGATCGTGTATGTGATGATTTTGCACAGATGATGGAAGAGATTCATGGGGTACCGAGGGATGAAAATAAAAGAACCCCAGGAGCATGCGAAAATCGGATAACAAAGATCAAATCACAATGCAGTAAATAGACTGCGAGTTCATGCTGAGGGACAATACCGGAGTGGGTGGAGTTCGGCAGATTTTGTAAGTTCATTTGAATTTATCCTCATACATTTACACATTCATTACATGGCACTTCTATAACATTTACACCATTTCACTGATCAGGAACGCTACTGCGAACAAATTTTTGTTAAAAAGAATCAGACCAGTTTTAAGCATCATACGTGTTGGCGTATTCTAAAGGATCAACCAAAGTGGATGGAGTTTGTAATGGGTAAGACGAGGCACCCCGGTAAGGTGCCATATTCAAATGAGAATGAAAGAGGGTGTGAGCAACACACCATCCAGAGGGAGGCGTGCGAGAAGTCACCCATAACCCCAATAGACCCCTCTCAACAGGAAGTGCATGTGGACGTTAAGGGCTCCGATAAAAGGCCTGCCACACAGAGTTAATAAGGCAAATGATGCCAACAAAGTTAATAACCAACGTCAGCGTAGGATCAGGCAATATGAAGAATCACAAACCTTAGTAACATGGAGCATCATTGCCAATCTCATGGCTCTTGATTCGTCACAAGTGGACAGATGGTCTAAGATGGAGGAGATTGAATTAAAGCGGGAAAAGATGATAGATGAAAGATCAAACGAACATGTATGTTATTTTTTCCATCCACTATATTTATTGAGCCAATAAAAGGTTGATAATATGTTCTCAAACAAGAATTTTCACTATTTCTCTTAAAAATATCACAGCATTCGGCACGGATGGCCAGAGAAATTAATCTACTGACAAGAGAGATGGCAAAAGTCGGCGAGGAAATGATTATTGTGCTACGTAAGTTTGACTAGTTGGACCTTGCAAATCTCGTAATGGAGGTCTCGCAAAAGGAGTACGCCATCAGAAGGGAACAATTGGATCCATATACTGACTCGCATAATAGTCCGTATCGATCATGCAGTTACTACTCCCATTATAAGTCAATGCTTATGTTTTTCTTCTGTCACCCATTCATGGTTGTGCAGGTGTAAAGACGGCCATTTCCGCCATCAAGAAGCAAAATGGCCGAACCCAAAACGTAAGTGAGTCAAGCGTCTCGCTAAGTAGAGGTAAAAAATACAGCCAGAATGACACGCTTGAGGAAAGTAGCTTCTAGTGGATTTGAACAATTTGATTTCTATTGAGGGGCATGCAATGAATTTGGTTGTTTTGTCAATGTTTCATAAAAAAACCCTTAAGTTTGTAGTCTTCGATTTAGTAGTTCTTACTGGGTCATTTTTTTTTAATGTTGGACATCATTACCGTATAATGGGTGTTTCCAAAGTGCTCGGTGATTGCGTCGTATCTGTGTTTTTTTGTTGTCCTGGTTTGTTGATGTTCACATTCATCAGACATTATCGTTGTGTATTTGTGTGCTTCGGTTTTCACTTTAAAACAACTTGAATGTTATTCACTTTTTTCACTTTAAATATGCTTATGAGAGCATGAAAAACTTCAAATACAGTGAAGGGAAGGGTTGCGAAGGACCTCGGCAATTTTATTCGATTTGCATTTCGATTCGAAATATTGATATTTGTAATAAAAATTTTATGATTCGAACTCGAATAAAAATTTTCAATTCCATGATAAAAATATATATAGTGTACATATGTTACACATAATTATATATTTTTCCCAAAATAAATAACTCAAACTAAATTTATTAATAACAATACTTTTAAAATTTAATACAAATAAATATATAATATGATTAAAACAATAATTATACTCCGATTTCTTATTTATGTTAATAAAAAAATTCTTTTCGTATCAATTTAAAAAATTAGAAAAATAAACGTGTGCATGTTTTATCAAATTAATCTAATATTTCTATTATAAATTTTCGGATAAAGTTTTTGATCCAAAAAATTATAATAGTAGCAGCTTTGAATTGAATAAGAACAACCCAACAATAAATTACATTGTGAGGTAGTTGTACAAATTAGTTAGGTAGTTGTAGATTTTTTTTTTTTTTTTTTTTACGTGCTCGAACTTCATTTCCAATTAGAATAAGAAAATTAGTCATAGACTTGAAACTACTAGCATATTATACTTAAGAAAAGTCACAGTTCTACATGGAGAAGACATAAACAACAAAGGCAACTGAAAACTATATACTGCCCGTCTTCAAATGAGAATGACAGTAGTTACCCACTCATCACCTTTCTAGATTATTTAACAATCGATAATAGCCGCAGTATTACCGAAGCATGAAGACTGGCATATGAAATTTTAGACGATTGTTTCACCTCCCGAAAGCCACCAGTAGTAGTTGATAAGATCTTCTTGTAGTCGCGCATTCACTCCTGTATTCCGGAGTTGGCCCATTCTTATTCGATAGAGCATGCGGACTTCATCTAGAGATTGAGAATTGTACGGGACACTTTGCTCCTTGTCGTGAGCTAGCACCCATTCCGGTAGGTTTTTCCCACGTTCGTCTTCGAAAACCATGTTGTGAAAATTATACATGTCATAACTAGAAGAAGATCTTTCAGTTGTTCGAGCGTGCCATAACATGCATAACTCACCATTTTTGTTGGAGAACACCGAACGCCCGTTCGATGTCCTTCCGACATGCCTCCTGCAGGGTTGTAAATGCTCATTCCTTGGCCGTAACTGGATTTCTAACCGATTGCATGAAGATAGCATGTTTTGGATAAATTATGTCTGTAAGATAATAGGGAATATCATACACTGTACCGTTCACCTCGTACTCAACTGGTGGTGTTGTCCCATTAATGTATTTGTCGAACAACAACGAATGGTCCAAAATAGTGACATCGTTGTTGGAGCCGGGCATACCAAAAAATGCATGCCATATCCAAAGATCTTGAAACACTGCAGTTTCCAAAATTAATGTAGGGTAGCCATACCATCCATTATATTACCCACGCCATGCAATCGGGCATGTATCCCAACGGCAATGCATACAATCAAGCGAGCCTATCATCCTCGGAAACCCACGCACTTTATTTTTGGCCAAAAGACAGGCTATGTCGTTAGGCGTCGGGTCCCGTAGATACTGCGACTTGTACACATTCACAATCGTTTCACAGAATTCTATGGTGGCCCTTTTGACTGACGTGCCCCCCATCTTTATAACCTTGTCCACGCTATCAAAACAACAAGCATAGCCGTATACTCGTACAACGGCCATCACTTTTTGTATAGGTGATTGACCCATGCGGTTCGTGCAATCCGGCCTCTACGTGAAATAGCGATTTTTGTTGCACAAATCATGTAAAATTATAATGAACAGCTTACGGCGCATGCAAAAGCGACGGCGGAAAAATTGTGCAGGAAAATGAGGCGTCTCGGATAAATAGTCTGCCCACAACTCTTCATACCTCATTTCTCGATCTTAGTAAATATAGCTCCTTCGTGATGGGGCAGTAGCCTCGATCATATTCGTAAACACGGGTAACGCCACCTACAGTGCTTCAAGTTGTTATCGTTTGAGCAGCCGAAACCACCTTCGTCTCCGTTGTCTCGCCTCTGTAGTTTTGTGGTCCACGGTCCACGACGAAGATCCTTCGTCATCGTATCCATATTCTTCACCTTCGTTATCCATACCACGACATCACGCCAAACTAAAAGAAAATGCAAAGGGATTCGAACTTAACCTCCGTAATTGCAACTTTGTAGGGATTGTTATATGTGGAAACCACACAATGTTCTATATAAATGTACATGCAGTGTAGGTGCTAGCAACAAAACTTTGCATAAATTGGTTAGTTGATGGGAGATTACTACATTTGTATTGTCTCATCTGAACAACACCACTATATGATATGGTACAGTAATGTTCATTGTAGCCATGTATATGAACAACCCTACACTACGGGACAGAACCGTAGTTGGAAACATGGTAGTAAATCACTATGTACAGGCAAAAGTCACAACATACAAAAGTTTTGGAATACACAAAAGCTGTTGTAATATTTTTGCAATACATTATCATGGCGGTTGCATCCACATTGTATAGCCCGTAATGGTTAACTTTTTGTACAAAATTTTCTCTACATTTCAACATGAGGTCTTGTTTTGTTTTATTTTATTTTTTTCTGTAAAAAATGAATAATGGAAACTCTTGATGTGTACAACAAGAGGAATGAAAATGCACATCAGGGTGGGCGTTCTCAGTGCTCATCCTAGCTTTGTACGCATCTACGGGTGACGGGATCTCCTATTTTCAAACTAAGAAAGGATCTTTTTGCCATATAGATTGCACTGCATGGATGGTGCATTTGATTAGAGATATTAAGCAATGCATCACAGAAATGACCCTAGCATTGCCGAGAAAGCAAATTTTGGATGAGTGAAGATAAATATTTAACATCGTAAAATAGATTGTCATAGGTCAAAGACTGCACAATAAATAGAGAATAATGATTTGAAGTGCTACAAAGAAAACAAAGATAAGTAAAGACACACTACTAAGTTCTCAAAATATCTCAGCCATGTGTACTCAACAACCTTCACCTTTTTATATGAATTGGAAATTCTAAAAAATATAATATACTCAATTACAATATCAAGCAAAGTAAACAATATTCATAAACCAACATCATTTCCTACATGTGGAAGTGTAAAAATCTTTAAAATAGCTATTTAGCACTAAGCTAAAAAAAAAAAAAAAACAGTAACTACACCTAATAATAAACAAATACATAAAATAAAATTAAAAATGTTAGAAAAGTAAATGTTTTGCTCTTTTTTTGTATTTGAAAAGCATAAATAGCATTCAAATTGAGTGCATTAAAACCACACAAGAGACTAAGAATTAAACAACGATGAAGCTACTAAATACTCTAAACAAATTATTTATGCAGCAATGACAAATTATGCAGCAGTAAGATACAAGGTACTTGGTTACTATATGGGCAATTACTACATTGTATTGTCCCATCTGAACAACAACAACACTATTAATTTTGTACAATAACTTACACTGTAGTGAATATATGAATTTTACCCGACAAGTGGGCAGTCACGAGCTTCGGCACTAGTCGGATTTGCACGCCATCACTGCACATAAATCTTGTCCCCATGAATTAAAAAGTGTATGGAGCTACAGTCCAATCCAATGCCGACCTACAGTCAAAGAACGTGAGGAATAATGGATGGCAGCTGTTCTTCACCATGGTTTTTCTCTGAAAATTAACAACCACAATGAACCGTGAACTTCGTCCATCACTCCCAGGTAAAATGACAACTATAATCATGATTTAACCTCAAAGAATGTATCAATCCAGATTGACACGATAACAATTATAAATAAAGATCCCCATAGTACTACCCTGTGAACTTCCACCAATACATGAAAAAAAACAAGTGAAAGACCAACCAGGGGCTTCTCTTACTACAAAATAAAAATAATCTAAACAAACTTGTTTGAAACCCAATAAACCATGTATTATTAATAATGTAGCTATGCAACAGTTTGTAGATACCTTATTAGTAGACATTATCCAGGAGGTGCACTAGTACGAGAAAAAGATTATTCAATAAATCCCTTCAAGTAAAAACAAATATCAATCTTAGATAAATTCATAGATGGAAAAATTATGAACACACACATTGGGGAAGTCTCTGTGCCGAAACATAAAAGGCTAGGAATAGCTGGTTTCCAATAAAAAATATAAACTTCATTGATTGGCACATTAAAGTCGATCACAATGTCATCAGCTTCGAGCAACACCCCATGTATTCCTGCACTTTGAGTATGTGCCACAAATACCACTTCTAAGTCAATGGCAATAGTAAAAGAATTTCTATGAAATGAGGTAACTACGCCATGAGTTTAAATCCAATAGGAAGAACACTACTGATAACTCTATCACCTTTTAGAAGAAAATGACATAATTAAGCATTACACGACGTAGATGCACCGCCGTCAACAAAAACAACATTGCTAACAAACAACTTACTAACCTGGGGGCATGAATTTAAAAACATAAATTGCACTATAAGAGCATCTTCCCATCTCACCAACCTTTTTCCTTCGAACATGCGACTCTCCACAAAGTAACAGTTAACATCACAACAACAAGAACAATAACAACAGTGCTAGCAACATTAAGCATTCAATTTACAATAGGTTCATAACAAGTTTCGATCCTACATTGTCATCACTTACTAGGAGAAAATATCATTCTTACAGAGCAAATAACCATAACATACCTTGGATGATTTAATTACCACAAAACTAGTAACATTGAAGTAGATACGACACTCAAAATAAAAACACACGAATGATTATTATAGAAATTACAATGTTGGAGATTATAAGGTATTCAAGCCTGGTGTGCGATGTTGCCTGACTTTTCTCAGCTCCACGTTGATAGAAACGATCATTGCTTCGACCGCCATGCCTTGATGTGGCACTAGACTATCCGGAATGAAAAGATATGTCCCTATTTTTATCGAACTCACGATCTGGGATTTCATTGTCATCATCTTCCTAACCTAGCCAATTATCACAAGGGTGGCACCGGTAATACCATCTGCAGGGGTTCTTTGCACTCCTTGATCTATTTAAGGTAGCTTCCATTCCACACGCACATCTATATCTCATTTCGTCCGTGTATGGTTATGCTCCTACGATATACGAAAAGAATTTGAGAGCATCATCAAGGTGAACGATTTCAACAATAATTTCTCCAACTCGCAGAAACTACATTTCGTATCTTCATTATATTTTGCAACGTCAAATTAGACTGAAAAAAAATAAGAATATGTTGTGACGAGTCATAAATTTTTTGAAATAAAGTAATAGAGAAAAACTTTCGAGTACAAAGAGAATACCCGCTACACAAAGTGAAAATTATCCACACAAATAAAACTAAAAACATACGAAGTCGAAGGAGAAATTCCCAATCTTAACTGAATTGTTGTTCTATGTAATTTGAGGAAATACAAAGAAAGATTAGGGGAGAATAAATTGAGAAGAAAACAGAAAGAAACACCAAACGACTACTCATCGGATTTCGACATTGATCCGACGCTGTCTATAGTCGTCACTCACCGGAATTCGACATCGATCCGAGGCTTTCCGTGCTCGCCGTCATAGTAGGGCTTACGTGGGGGGGTATGGGAGGTTTGGAGATGCGAGGATTAAATGATTTGCAAGAATTGTTAACGGGGATAGACCCGAGAGACGTTGCTTGTGCTCTAATTCTCACATAAATTCAAACACAACAAAGGTCAACGCAGAGTCGAATAACCCACCCGCTCATTCTTCACTCACCAGTAATCAGGAAACAAAGACCGATTGGTATTTGGTACCCAATTCATACTTTCAAATTTTTGCCCTATTCTCATCCCCATCCACGTCCACAACCCCCGTGAGCCGCCGCCGCCGCCGCCGTCGCCACCGCCGCACCACCAGTTTCTTCCTCTTCTTCTTCCACCCGATCTTTCCTTCCTTCTTCTCCCATTCTTTCCTTTCCTTTTTCTTCTTCTTCACGCTCCTCCCTCCTGCTCCGCCGCTGTGAACTACCCGGTGAGATTCATATATATATTTATATTTCCAAAAAATTCCCCTCGGTTCGAAATCCCCTGTTTCCAATTCTGCCGTAGTAGTAGCAGTAGTAGGCAGAAAGAATGGAGGAGCAGCAAATCGATAAGCTCCGTGGAGTGGTGCGTGACTGCGTCAGCAAGCATCTGTATTCGTCTGCAATTTTCTTTGCCGACAAGGTGGCCGCGGTGACGTCGGACCCCGCCGACATATATATGCAAGCGCAGGCGCTATATCTTGGTCGGCATTATCGCCGAGCCTTCCATCTACTGAAGGCTTCACAGATTATCTTCCGCGACCTACGCTTCCGCTACCTTGCGGCGAAATGCCTCGTAAGTAGTCTTCTTTCTAATTTTGTGCATGTGCTATTTAAACATTATGCTTCTTTAGCGCTTTTGATGTCTCTTTGGAATCCTATTGGGATGTTTATATGGTTTTCAGTTGGAATTCGCAGCAATTCTTCAACACCTCTGAGTGTTTTCTGTTTTTGTTTTTGTGACAGGCTATGTAATGAATGCCTGATCATTTGACATTCTGATTTTGTGATATATATTGATATACATAGTTTGGACAAGTCTTGGTCGGAAATTTCCAGGAAACTAACTCACTTTAAAATCAGTAGCAATTCGATTTGAGTAGTTCTGGTTTTGATCTAACAACTGTATTTGGGTTAAAATGTTGTCTATTTGGATGGATGGAATTCGCCTAAGATCAACAATTAATTTAAATTTTGCCCTATGGTATATATAACATAGCTTGAATATTCAAAATAGGAAACTTTAGATTTCCGGAAAGCTGAAATCGAATTTACCCTGATTCCATGAATTCAATAGTGTAAAATGGACTTGGGTTCTGACTTTCCCATATTCTGAATTTGATTTTCTGAATTCTTTACAAATTAACTGATAAATCCTTTTCTTTTTTTCCCTTCCCTTGTGTTTATCTGTTTCCAGCTTCTTGAATTTCTGTGTAGTAACTTTTCTAGTGTGAGTGGTGTCCGAAATTATAGCTCTCTAATTTACTTGTTGAAATGGAAAACATATGATATCACCAGGAAGAATTAAAGGAGTGGGATCAATGCCTATTAATGCTTGGTGATGCTAAAGTGGATGAACATGGAAACATAATTGACACAAAGGATTACAGCAGCATGTACCTGGATAAAGATGGTGAAGATCGTGAAATCAACGTAAGTTTCCTTTCATCCATCCTGTGGAAAGTGTGGAGAATGAACGGAAAAAAAAAAAAAAAAAAAAGTCTTATCAGATGCTATTTAAATTTAAAAGTGATGATAAGATTTTTGTTTCAGATCATTTCAGCAATATGCTTTTTGAGAGGCAAAGCATATGAGGCATTGGAAAATCGTGCTCAAGCTCGGCTATGGTGTGTAACATGATACTTTAGCATAGACTTCGTCCCTGCCCATCCTTCATACTTATTTAAATATGTTCTCCTTTCATTATGACAATAGCATTGCTAGTGACTGCATAAACACATCTATTTTGAAACAGGAACAATTTACATATGAATTTAAATGAACAATTTAATGCCAAAGTTTGAAAATAGTCAGGAGCAATGGTGTTGCATTTACAATTTGGCTCATTATTTAGAAAATGGAAATTGATCATCAATATAATCAATGTTCATCTCATATAAATTAAAATAAAATGTGACTCTTGGAAAGTACCCTAACCAAATAGGGCAATGACTATCAACAACCTTGCAATCCCAAGAAGAGAGTGAAAGAACTTACATTTTTCTACTGGAAGCAGGTCTTGCTACATAAGGAGGGGTTTTCAGTCACTCTGTTAAATAAATGCTAGAGCATATGCCAATATGTATTATTCCCCCATTTGGATGGTGAGAAATTGGAGTTGTTTGAAATGCACCCTATGTTGCATTATATATCATAGGCATGATAGGTTTGTGATGTTGGTGTGATAATGTAGACAAGATCCTCTGTGTTTTTTCCTCAAAGCAGTCACTCATATCTACACTACAATAGTAAGTTAGAGGCTCTCCATCCCCTTTTAACTTAGTGATCTTATGTATTTTCATCATCCTTGTCTTAGCTTCCTGTCTTCTTTTGCTTAATATTGACTACAATATTCTTTTATTTTTGCTCAATTTTGTGTTATTGGGATTTTTTTTTTTTAATTTTTTCCCTAAGTCTTTTGTTTTTTCCATACTTAGGTATAAAGCTGCTATCAAAGCTGATCCTCTGTGTTATGAGGTAAGATAGTTACTATCAGTCTTGAGAAATTTCATGCTAATGCTGTTGGCAGTTTGACATTGGGTTAATTAAGAGTTGATTTGATTCTCGATATAAGATAGCATATGTAATGCAAGCTGCACTTTTGTAAAAGTTTATGTTGTCTTGAATGATCATTTTCCACAGCATATTCCTTGCTTTTGCAGGCCTTGGAATGCCTTATAGAAGGTCACATGCTCACTTGTGAAGAAGGTGTGGACCTTATTCTGCACATCTGCAATTCTTAATTTGAAGAAGCCTAATTTGATTTTGATAGTCATGCATGTGAATAAAATTGGATTTTTCTACATCTCACTTAATCGCTTCATTATCATGATAGCATGAAGCAACAATTCTGAGGTTCTAGTATGTAAATTGTGTACTGAAAACCTAATTCAGCTATTTTTGTATTCCAGAGACCAATTTATTAGCTACATTGCAATTTGGCCAAGATGATGTATGGCTTTCTTCATTTTATTCATGCTTAATAAAGAAGGTGAATGCAGATTTAAGCAGTGATGTAATTTTATGTTCATTGCACTAGTTGTTTAATTTGAATTTGTAATATTGTAATAATTGTTTATATCATTGCATTCCAGTATGATAAAGAGAATGTTGTTGAGCTCAAGTTTAAGGAACTAGAGCAAGAAATGTCTGATACAGAGACATCTGGCAAATCATTATGTTCACTTTTGAACAACACTGATCTCTTAGCTTGCAAAGCAGAGTACTACCATCAGTGTGGTGAATACCAGAAATGTTTTGAATTGACTTCAATGTAAGTTTGTAACTATCTTGAAGGAAATTCAGTGTTGCATTGTTACCATTTCTGATGAAGCTTTTTATTTCATCTTTAATCCAGCTTGCTTGAGAAGGATCCATTTCATCTAAAGACTACCTTGGTGCATCTAGCCTCTGCCATGGAGCTTGGGCATTCCAATGAGCTCTATTTAATGGCATCCAATTTAGTTAAGGACTACCCTCAAAGGTGAGAATGCATGTACACATTTGCTCAATCAATTTATCCTAGTTATTGACATGAATAGGAATATTTATTTTATCATTATTTTTCGCCACGTTTTTACTGTTATATATATAATGTATACTTGTTCATTTAAGTAACCCATTATCCCTTATTATTTCAACTAGATATCCTTTCCTTAAGAATTCCATGTTCTATATTGGGATGAATGGCTAATTTATAGATTTGATATTTCTAACTAAAACTTCCAAAATTATGCTTTGGTGATTTCCTGTGTTGTATGTATTCAGAGCTCTTTCATGGTTTGCTGTGGGCTGTTACTATTTCTGCATCAAAAAATATGTTCAATCTCGTCGATATTTCAGGTATCAACCGTTGAAATGGTTTTTATTTTTCATCGTCATAATATTCGGCCAAAATGTATAGAAGTAATCATTGAACTTCACACTCGATGGAAATTGCTGGGATTTTGCTAATTGCTACATTGTATGCTTGGAGGGAAGCCCAGTTGTACCTTCATATATTAGTATACATGACATGGCTTTTATAGAAAGGACCTCCAACCTACACCTAGCCAGCTGCATTGGTTTTGGGCAAATGAAATTTGTATGTATAATGTAAAGAGGTGGCCACTTTTAACTTGTATTGCCTTCTTTCTTAGGCTTCTTGGCCATATTAGTATAGCTGCAAGGACCCTGAATATTTTGTGTTCATTCTTGTGATGTCTTTCTAGATATTCTTTAACTCAATTGGGGTGACTTCAAGGATTGATACCTTGATTCCTTGAGTAATGGAAACATTTTGATTTTGTTTTGGTGTGTTAGAAATAGTAAAAATTTTGAATTGAAATTATTGTTTAATACTTACTCCGTCTGCCAATTTTAGTTACACTTCCTTTGTAAATTCCGTTTGTCCGCCAATTTTAGTTATACTTTTTTTGTACCAATTTTAGTTACACCTCCTTTGTAGGAAGCATAGTTGTCAATAGCGTGCAATAGCGGCGTAGCGTAGCGGAAAGATACTTTCTCGTTACAGCCGCTCCGCAATTCCGCGTTTACGCAATAGCGGCGTAGCAGCACTCCGCTACGGTATGTTACACCGCTATTATAGCTTATTGGGTTATTTTTTAACACGTAAATAATTGAAATATAATTTTAATTTATAATTTTTTTTTTATTATAATGACATTTATTTTAAATTTTAACTAAATTTTTAGATTCATTCTAAGAAAATAAACAAATCAGAAAGCCAAAAGTTGCAAAATTTGGCTTGTATCAAGTATGACCAAAATTTGTTAGAACGTTATGGTATCAATAATGTGATTGGTCTTATTGTGAACGATATTGATGATTCAAATGAGTGGTTAACTAAAAAAGTTGATAATTGCGGAGGATAAGTTAGTCTTTTGACAATGATAATTTGACTATGGGAGTTGTTGTTGATGCTACTTAAGTTAACGGGCCTCCTTCTAGCTCTAAAAAGAGAAATGATATTATGTAAGGTGATGAACATATAATAGAATAAATGGATAAGAATTAAGAAGAGAAGGAATATTATATAGGCAAGAGTAATTAAACAACTAGGATGACGAAAATGAGGAAGAAAATTCTTTATTAGATTTTGGATCTAATTAGCTTTGATATATATATATATCACACAAATAGTGATCTAATTATTTTGAATGATAATTATGAGATTAATTTATAAATTTTTCTTATATATTTTTGTCGTAAATTTGTATATATAATAATTTATATATATATTTTTTAAATATTTAAATAGTGGTCATATTGCTATCTGCTATTCCGCTATAGTATTTTAGATGTTAACCGCTACGTACCGCTATCCGTGATTGACAACTATGGTAGGAAGCCAATTCTAGTTACACTTTCTTTGTAATTACAAAGGAAAATTACAAAGGAAGTGCAACTAAAATTGGTGGACGGAGGGAGTATAATATAAATAGATATTTAATGTGATGTTGTATATAGAATTTAATTCTATTATTTTTTATGTAACATATTAAATTAAAATAGGTGTATTATTTATTTTTTTTTGGTGTGTGTTTGGGGGGGATGGGTGTGTGATAGGTTAATGTAGATGCATAGTGAAAATGGGTGTTTGAAAACAGTAACACAGCCACACGACTCTTTTAGGACCTCAATTTCTTCTTGTTACAGATTTAGTTTGATGTAATTGTTATTGTATGCCAGCAAGTCAACCAGTTTGGATGGGACATTCGCACCTGGTTGGATTGGCTATGGCAATGCATATGCAGCTCTAGAAGAAGGTGATCAAGCAATGTCTGCTTACCGCACTGCGGTTCGTTTATTTCCAGGGTAATATCCCTTGCTGTTCACTGTCCATTGGACATGCTTTGTCAAGTCTTATTATCCTCAAGTTATGCCTTTGATGATATGAGCGTCTTCATATTATGCTTTCTAAAATTTTATTGTTGGTTTGGTTTGGATTTGCTGCATTTGGACACCTTGGGCAGGGTTAGATATGCTGATGCATCAAACAGGAATGCTTTTATCAACTTATATGCATTATTGTTTTGCAAGTTTCTTCCACAAATTGTCTGGATGACTTACTTAAATGATCATAATCCTCTGTTTTAGTTTGCTTCTTGTACACCTTGTAAAATGCTGAGATGTCATGATAATGTCATCTTTTTATACATCTTCAGCCAAGGGGGAAAACTATATAATCATCTGTGTTAGAAACATAAGGAGTAAGGGATGATTGACCTAAACATTCTCATTGCCTCATTTCTTAGGAGATGGAAAATTTTTTCTTACTTTTACTGCCAATTTTATATTTCAGAACTTTGCTTTTATTTTATCATTTTTATTGAAGGAATTGAATGCATTGGTGTGATGTTTCTTTATTTTGATTCTCGGAACTAATAAGGCGTCAACCTAGTGTACTTGAAACTTTGTATCTATGCTTGTATGATCCAAGAGATTGTAGCATTGATGATCAAGAAATTTCCTTCTCCTACCAATAACTTAACACAGAAACTAGGGTGTTGATTAGATTAGAATTCCTAACTTTTAACCATCCTATTCTTGGGACAACTTTCTTCAAGCTATTTTAAATATGACGAGCATTTTATGTATGATAATTTTACCCTTGTACTATTAGCAGTGGAATATTTTCTTTTTGTATTATGTGAAGAGTTTAGAAATAGTGTCTGATTACAATAGATGTGATTTTTTAGTTTTACTGAAATGTTAAGGTCACATGTTGTTGGAGATCTTTTCATTACTTACTAAATATGGACTGTTTTGACGGTCAGAACACTGATTTTCTTTTATTCCAGGTGCCACTTACCAACACTGTACATAGGAATGGAATACATGAGAACGCATAGCTTTAAACTTGCAGAGCAGGTAATTTTAAATATCTTCAGTTTAGAATTTTCCCTGTTCATGTCTCTTCTCTGGACTTTAGTTGTCCACTAGGCATTAACTGTGTGTGCAACAAAATAAATTGCTATTTTCCTTGATGGGTTGAAGCATCTGTTCTTCTACCTGATTATGTTTCTAAAGGGTAGTTGCTTTCAGTTTTTTATGCAGGCCCAGGTTGTTTGTCCTTTAGATCCGCTTGTATATAACGAACTTGGGGTCGTGGCTTATCATATGAAGGAGTAAGTTGCCCCACCTAAATAAAACTACCACCATTTGCTTTTTCAATGTGCCATCAAGTTTGAAGGAATGTTTATATATGGATTTTTGTTTTTCGGGTATGAGCAATTACAACCATACCACCATTGTAATTTATAACTTTTGAGAAGGATGCTTGAGCTAGGTGAACATGGCTAAATATCTCAAGTTTCGTATAGACTTCCATCTGAAATCCTATTGCAAAACCTTGCCTTTAAACTGTCGTGATTAGTATGATTTTCTTGTCAAAATCTTTCAGGTATAAGAAGGCTGTTTGGTGGTTTGAGAAGACATTAGCTCATGTTCCTTCTTCTTTAAGTGAGATGTGGGAGCCGACTCTAGTCAATCTTGCACATGCGCTGAGAAAATTGAAGTACACCTTTTCTTTTATGCTTCAAAGTATAATAACTATACAGATGGTGTTTGACAATATCAGCTGTTTTTATATATTATCTTTAGCATGCTTAATTTTTAATCTCCTAAATAGTGTGCTATATCTTTTCTGGCCGTTCAATTAGTGAACCTGTTTGTAGTTAAATAGCTCCGTTGATTCTTGTAAACGGTTCTTATCTATACTTGTAAATTCTCCTGATGTTTCTACCTTCTTGGACTCTATTCGTGGCTCATAAGTGCGGATAAGAAGATGAATATTGTAGATGTGACATAAATAAATGCTCTCTATTCTTAGAGCTACATTTTGGCTTCAAACATTTTTGCAATACTTGTAGTATGATGATGCCCTTTCTTTCTTTATCATGGGTGTGATTACAAAAATGCCTTTTGTTTATATTTTGGATTCTCGGTATGTTGTGATTGACAGAATAATTACACCCATTTTACAGGAGATACGACGAGGCAATTGTTTACTATGAGAAAGCACTTGAATTATCAACAAGAAGTTTGAGTACATATGCTGGGCTTGCTTATACATACCATCTGCAGGTGACTGATATTTCATAATTTCCAGCTTCTCAAGATATCGATTAAAAATCTAATTTAGGCCTTCTTTTCCAGAATAATTTTATATCAGCAATCACATACTATCACAAGGTATGATTTTATATTCTGCTTAATTCCGATACCAAATAATTTGAACTTCAAAATTTGGAGTGGACAAGGACAGTAGTTGATTAATTACATAACAACAGGCGTTGTGGTTGAATCCAAGTGACGAGTTCTGTACAGAGATGGTGGCGCTGGCTTTGGAGGATGAGTGCCGCACGGGTGTAATAGACCCGACGACAATGGTTGGAAGTCGATTATTCATTTAAATAGGAATAGGAATAGGAATATGAATAGACAGCTAGCTAGCTCCAATGAACAAGAATCATTTTGTATGTAACTAACTGATTTGATGCATGTATGTATGTAGGGTTGCCAGTATTCGATTCGATTCGGAAAAAATAATTTGATTTTAATGTTGAGTATGTTTTTTTGTCTACAAAGCAGCAATCTTACTATGACATACATTAATTCATGTTATGTTGTGCTATGTATGTTCTCTTTGTTTGCTTGTTTATATCTACTTAGCAGCGTGTAATCCTAATTATTTTTATATTAAATTATATATTGATTTAAAATAATTTTTATAAATAATATTTTTAGTTTATATATATAATATATTATTAGAATCAAACCATTTTTATAAATAACATACACAAATTTTTTGTAAAAAATAATAATAGATAATTAGAAAATGGATATATAATAAAAATGAAACTATTATAATAAACATATATTAAAAATTTTACATACTTTTTGAATATATTTTGAAAAAAAAATTCAAAAAACTTGAACATAATCTATAAAAATTAAAAGATATATTAGAATATTATGTACAAAAATAAATAAATTTGAAAAAAAAACATATTCAATAACAATAAAAAAAATAATTAATAAAAAAATAATAAATAACTTAAAAACATAGATACACAATACAAATGAATGTACTAATATATAAATAAAATTTCTATATATTAAAATTTATTATAGTTTTTTTTTATGAATTCTCTAAATATTCAAACCAAAATATTCAAACTTTAAACATAATATACAAGATTAAAAAAATAATAATTAAAATATAATGTTAAAAAATAAATCAATTAGAAAATATACATATCTTTTACAAAATTTCACATCCAACCTACTATTCAAACTAAAAATAAAACCAAATTCTAAAAGAATCATTTAAGAGAATTCAATAAAAGTGATCAATAAGTATATATATGATATTATTTCCTAAGAACTCATTATTATTCTGATCTCATAATTAGTATATTAAAATTATTTATTATCACATCATATGTATACTATAAAGAAAAAAATAATCACTTCAATTTTAATTAAATAATATAATCACACATTAAATGTAAAGTTACCTTAACATAAAAAAATAAAAAAATAAAAAAAATTTTTAATTCAAATATCAAATCGAAATTAAAACCTCAGTATTTGTCATTTCTTCGTCATCATTCTATAATACTCCCTCCGTCCCGGAACTAAATATCCATTTGCTTTTTGTACGTAGTTTTAGAAATATTAGTATTATATTGGGAAATAGTAGGAATAAAGTAGAAATGACTAAAATAACCTTATTAATATGTGTGATATAAAGGTAATGACATTTGTGTAATATATCGTAAGTTGTAAGGGTAGATAGTACAGTTACTAAAAAAATGAATACTTTTTTATGGAACAGACTAAAATGGAAAAATTCATACTTTGTTATGGGATGGAGGGAGTAATATTTTTACAATCTACAACTACTTCATACCATCCATAGCGGTGATGTTATTGTATTATTCAACATCAATCGTATTAAATCAAAGATGACAATACTTAAATTATAAATCAACAACGCACAATTTATGTTAGTATAAATTTATATTAATTTAATACGAAAACATCATATAAACTAATATCGCATAATAATAGTTCACACGTGATATATTATCATTAACCTCAGTACAAAAAATATATTCAAACAATATTTGTAAACGCTAACTTTTAGTATATAAAAAAAATATACACAACGCATACATATTGTAGTTATTGAAGTCATGTGCTTGTCATCGATTAGTACTAATCAAAAGCGCTCCAATGATTCTCCATCCAAGAGTTGGTGAGAGAGTCATGCCGAATCTTGTTCTTTATTAAGTAGTACAAGAAAATCAATAATTGGAGCAACAAAATGCTAATTAGATCTCCCTACCAAATTTATTCCTATTTGTATTGAATCCATTAGAAATTTGCCACGGGCCTATAGGTGTATCCAAAATATTCTTGTATCCAATTCCATTGAAAGAAAATCATCGACTAAAGATTGTTTGAACTTTTATTGGTTATGTTCCGTATTAGTGAGTTCGTAGGAGCAATTTCTACAAGAAAGCAAAACTTGATAACCTTTTGATCTAGCATTGTTGTTCTTTTTGTTGTCCATTTCGCTTTCCTTGGGTTCTTACAAAAGATCATACAATTCATGATCATTTTCCTTGCAAGAAACCCTCGTGAATGGATAATAAGCGGTGCCGTCTATTGCTTATAGCCCATAATTGTGATGTGAGGATTTTGATATAAATGAGATCATATTATTTTATCCAAGAAAGTACGAAAGATTTCGATTCTACTTAAATTTTTAATTGCAAGAAATCGTTATAACTATTTTGGCACAAAGAAATAACAATAAACTAAAACTCAAATCTTGTTAAGGGATTGTAACTCTAAGTGGTTGAGTTACTTCATTAAAAATCAAGATCAATTGGAGAGACAATACCCCATGGGAATTTTCCGGCAACGGCGGCGTCTGATAGGCGGAATGGCATTGGCGAGGTGGTTGGAAGAATATTTTCAATTCTTGCCCATTCATCTTTGCTTAGGAATCTCTTTGATTTCACAAATTCAATTTTTCTGAGTGCCGAGTAGTTCAGTAGCTTTATTGAGAAATAGTTATATATATATATATATAGGAGTTTCATTGGGAGCATTTTTGTCATTTCACAAAAGTGCTACGTGAGTAGAGAAAGATGGAGAGTGCCTAGTCCTCAATTTCAAATGCTCTTTTAGGACTGGTTATCAAATCATTTTTTCAGACAAGAATTGATACTACAAACTCACTAATTTCTAAACCTAACCACTATAAGTTCAAACGATATTTAATCGAAAATTTTCTTCCAATAGGATGGATGCAAGAATGCTTCGGATACACCTATCTGCTTGTGCCAAATTTGTAATGGATATATTCACTAGGAGGAAGAAATTTTGTGGGTGATGATGATCTTTATCATTTCATGCTTTGATAATTGGTTTTCTTGTACTGCTTCCTAAAAAACAATATTCAGCAAGTATATGATGATATGAAATTTGGTTTGGAAAATATAATAAGAATAGTGACAAAGACAAATAAGGGCAATAAGAGATATATATTCAGAGGAGAAATTTCGTAGACAACTAAATAAGCATAAACATGAATCAAATAATTACAATATAATGTAATTGATATAATAAAAAATAATAACTTGATTCTCAATAGAGTCGAAAATGATTGGACTCTCGACCGAGAAACAAACACTAATAATCATTAATTATTAATCCAAAGATAAGTTAGCATTCTAAGAATCATCTACTAATAAGTATTAGGAACAGAAGTCTTTCTTTAATATTTCTGTAGATGCATTATTAATTATCTATCCATATCCGACATGAAAGGTAGATTGATTGATTGAATCCGGTGGGTGTGCGAATAACTGATGTGAAACTAACTCCCAAGGACAAAAAGAAAGAAGTTGAATTGGCAAACAAAAAAAATGACAGCTTGAATTCAATTCTGTTCTTTTTTTTTTTTTAATATATATATTTATTTTTCAAAATTATATTATATTATTTATTATTATAACTTATTCCTTCGGAGTTCCGCAACAGATGTTTGTACACTCGATCAATCTCGAGGAGAGTAGCTATTAAAATGTTGCAATAGATTACTGTTGTCGCTTAAAATAGTTTTGACAACTTATCTAAACGAGCCAACTGAAAATCGGATGGGTTTTCCGACTTTCTCCAAAAAGATCCGGAACCTTGTGAAAATTTTCCTAAAAGGGATGAAAGAAAAAGAATTTTAATTAAGGGAAGAAATAGGCAGAAAATTAAAGAAAACTAGAAAGAAAAGTAAAGAAAGTAAAAAGAACAAGAAATCAAATAAAAAAAGTAAAAAATAAAAATGCATAGAAATTAAAATTGTGTAAGAAGAGAGGAGAGGGGAGATAGTTATTATTTATGGCCACGGAACTGATTCTGTCTTGCATGGTTTTCGTCATGTGGAGAGTTCCATCTCTTCTCCTTTGGGCTACCACAATGGATCCTTAGGTTACCTTCCACAATTTAGGTTCAAAAAACTGTCGAGTAACCTGCCTCATCCAATTGTTCAACGAAAATCAGATTCCGTTTCAGACCCGGGACATGTCTCACGTCATTCAGTCTCCACTCTCCACCATCCGGTGTTCTGATTTGAACAATCTATTTACCTACAATTTTCAGTGTCTCATCATCTCCAAGAAAGACAACACCAAAATTACCGGCGGTATAGGATTCCATGATTCCCGAATCACTGTATGAGTGGAATGACGCTCCTGAGACCAAAATCCATGACTCCATTGGAATGCTGACGCTCAGAATTAGCGCAGTAGATATCTTCTCCGTTGCGTTTGCTAAAACCTGATCCTTCTCCGGTGCCCTGCATTGTTGTTTCAAATGCCCATTTCAGTTCCAACATACCATCTAACTTGCATTTCTCTGTCCTTGTTCTTCGGCTTCAACTTTGACCATTTTTTATCTTCACCATTTCCCTTTGTCTCAGATCTAAATTTAGTCGAGACATTCTCCCAAAGGGTTAGTCGAACCACAATCATCGTCTTCTTGTCGATATTCTTGTACTCGGCTTCATCCGTGTCTTCGGGTTTCTCCTTCAACGCCACCTCTAGATCTTTACCATATAGGTAATCTTCTATCTGCATCTTCCAGAAATTGAAATTCATTCCATCGAATACCTTGACAGCAGGACGTCACCCATCTTGATTCCCACAAACAAACCAAAGGTTCACTTGATATGAAAGCACATCTCTGATATCTTCTCCGCTGTGTTTGCTGAAACCCTTATCCTTCACTGCGTACCTTACACCGCCTATCACAAAGGGACCCACTACCTGACCTACTAGTCGGGACCGACCCAACACCGCCAGGAGACTTTCGACACAAGGCACCTCCGCAGGTCACAAGGGATTCCCACTGCCACAATCAATATCCGATGCCTTCCGGTCAACCTTACCAACGAACCAGGCTCTGATACCACTTGTTACAGAAATTCCATGAAATCAAGAAGAGACAAACAAGGACACAAGAACACAAGAATTTGGTAACTTAGTTCGATCACGATGATCTATGTCTGGGGACGCTGCCAAGCCAGGAATTTTACTATAGAATACGCATACACATG